GGACAAGCCTAATTCCTGCTCCAAGTGGGTCACGGTCAGCTACAGGCATGTTTTAGAGTCTCTATACCCCAGTTAACGATTATTGATTTTTAAATTAGTTGATGTTTTTTTTAAACAATCGATTAATCCCATTAATTGTTTTAGCCCTAACCAAGAGCAGTTCATGTTTCCCTCCACTAAAAAAGATCCATGTAAAAACTGATTAAATTTTCCCAGTATAACTTGGTCCCAGTCTACAGTATCAAAAGCTGCTTTTATTAAAATGGTGTCACTGTGCTCAGCAGGCCAACCAGCAGGTCTGACCAGAACCTCACTGAGAATCTAAGACGTAAAGCAAAACGTCAGTCATTTCAATGGACGTCTGCATTTTATTGCCCCACCACTGAAACAAACACCATAATTAGGGAACATTCTATTCAGAAACGTATTACTTTGAGCATTTAGAGGATAGATTACAGCTGAACTCATTCTAAGGAACAATTTTATACTGCATTAGGTTCCTGATAAGGGACCACATGTCTGCTGCTGCAGGTCACGCTCTGCTGATGGAGGGCTAAATATCAACAGGCTAGAGACGACAGCTGAAGGATGAATGTCCAGGAGATTGAAACTCTATCCTCTCTTGGGTGACTTGGTTTTCATCCTTTAATGCACACACAGCTAAACGGCAGCTCAGTACCAACAGTACCGACAAGCAGAGATGCTGTACAGGGCTGATTTAATGTGAAAATATTAAATAGAGATAAACTGATCAAATACCTGGATCGGATATCAGCTGATATTAGCTAATTAGCTGGATCAGATATTGGTTTGATATTTGATGGAGATCCAATCCAGTGCACTTTACATGGAACTGTTATTTCATTTTGTCGCTTATTTGTTACTAAATAATATAAAGTACACATACATCTGTGTAATTTGTTACAGTTTTTTAACAGTGTTTATGTTAAGGCTAAAGCCTACACTCACATGGCAAGATGTACGGTTTATTCATTCAGAGTCGGATCGGATTGTATCGGCTGATATGCTCAGCCCAGGTATTGGACTGGAAAAAACTGGATCAGTGCACCCCTATTAAATACGGCAGACATTCCTACTGCAACTCTTCCCTTCTGTCGTAGTTTATCTGGTCATCAGTCCAACTTAGCGGGTGAAAATTTTAACAGTAAACATTTTAGTCTTCCTCGAACAGTGGGCCACTTCAACCCTAAAAAGGGAATCTTAGAAATTCTTTTACAAACTATAGAGAACACCTAACCTTTACTCAAAGAAATCCCTGCTGATCCTTCAAGCTCTTACCACTTATTGGAGCCAAACACTTTTAAAGCGAGGGTGGGCACAAAGTAATCAGCCAGGCAGACTAGCATGACGGTGCAGGAGACTCCAGTCAGCACGGAGGGGTCCAGGTAGTAAATCAGCCTGAGGAGCAAACAGGTAGTGATTAACAGGAATATCGGCACACCCTGAAAAGGCATAAATGGAACCGGTGCATCAGTTTAACATCAATGCAACTCAAAAGAAAACTGAAAGCGAGCCAACAATAGGCAGACATACCGCTGCCTGTTATCAGATAGACTTTCCCCCCTTATTCTTTAACCCTTTCCGGATTAGCATTCCAATACAAAAATGCTTTTAACCGCTTTCAATTGAATGTATAATTCATGGGGCTAAATGAAACTGCTAACATTTAAAATTGTTAGTTTTTTAACCTACATTATGATTTTATTATGTTATATTTCCTTTATAATACTGATGAGAATATAGATGCCTGACTCATTGCTTGCTTGTCCAAAGTTTGCTGAAGCAGCACTTTACTGTTACCGACTTACTGTAAAGCGCTTACTTCTACTCGCTCGCATGGATCTCTGTGCTACAAGCCTCTCTTCCTTTCTGCATGGTGAAAAAAATGCAACCTAAAGGGCCAGAATGTGTCTTAGTCTTGTTAAATTGTCATGTAACCAAAACTAGTTATAACCACTTGCATTTGAAACCTGACAGTTTAACTAAACACTAAATGTTCAGTTGTTTTAATTGTTCTTAGATTGATTATTGGTAAAGTGTTGCTTATGACAGGGAAAAATTGTCATAACTTGAAAATGTTTTAATTTCTTTCAACATCCTCATAGCGACTAAGAAACCACAAGTAATGACTGAAAAAGAGAACTAGTCAGCAGGAATGTCTGCAGAGCACACGGACTAACCTAAAGCCAATAAAGAAAAAACAATCAACCGGAGTTCTGAAAACCCCAAAAACAGGAGAAATAAAGATTTTCTCTATGGAGCCAACTGTGCCAGACATGTTTTTATGACAGAGCTACAGCTGCTCAGGGAACACTCTGAAGTTTACCGCTTAGCTCTGCAGTTATAGAGGAAGAGATAGACCGGTACATCGGCCAGCAGAAATGTAGGTTCTCTTTTCTTTTTTTACGCTTTACCCGATACGTACATTTATTAACTGATTCATTAGCACATTCAGCAGCTGTATCTAAAGATCGCTTATGGCACACGCGTTTGCAGCCCAATTTTTTCTTGGTGCTTTCTTTGATTTTTTTTAAGGTTTCCTTTTTTTTAATTAACACTTCTGCATTTGACTTGGGGCTGTAACAAACAATTATTTTACTGATAGATTATTCTATAGATTATTCTCACGATTTAAAAAAAAATAAAAAAAAATCCTTCTGCAGATTGTTTACTTATTGCTAAGGCTTCATATATGAATATCTGGAATACATAAATAATAAAATAAAAGATGGCTCTGTAGTGAAAATGGCCAGACAGAACATTTGCCTGAAAGGATTTTCACTGGAAAAACAATCTAGAAATAAGTGAAAATTCCTTAAATTAAGTGCATTTACCCTTAATTTGAGTAGGTAAATTAGATAGTTTGCCAATGGAATGAGTATTTTTACTCTTAAAATAAGATAATTAGATAACATGCACTTGAAATAAGACAATGCAATTGTCTTTTTTTATTTTAAGTGTAGATTGTCTTGTTCCATTGGCAAAATGTCTCTTTTACCTCCTTAATCCAAGAACAATTGCACTTATTTTAAGAAAAATAACGACTTATCTAGATTTAGATTTTTTTCCAGTGCAAATGGACGTCCAATCAGTCAAAATATCGTTACAGCGCTACTTACATTGATGTCAAAATAATCAGCATTGGCCTTAAAAAAAAATAGCTATTGAGGTTAAAAGAAGGTGATGGAAACAGAAAAAATATCTCAACTTTACAAAGTAACAACCTCCTCTACAGCTAAATGAACATCATGCCTTAAATTCCAACTAAACATGTAGATATTAAAGACTTCTTAAAAATCCAGTATCTAAATGTTAGACATGTTCTATTAAATGTTAAACATGTGAAACCGTCTATCCGCTGGACTCACAGGAAGATCAAAGTGGAGGCACCAATCAGGGCTCCAGGGAACCAGGGCTGCTCCCAGCGCAGGACCCGATCTCCGGCTAGGATCACTTCCCTCCAACCCTGCAGTTGCTCTTCCAGCTGGGCCGTTTCCTGAGCCTAAATACAAACATTAAAACATTTTTACTTTCATTTAACCCACATATTATAAATACACACTTTTAAATAACATGACCTAACTTAAAAACAAGCGATGCAGATAGAAGATGCAATATCCACTAGGAGAAAAAAAAATGAATCGGATAGATTACAAAAATAACCGTTGTGGGTTTAGGTCATAGTTTACAAAGCAATCAAGCATAGTAATACAATGCTGATTAAAGCAGGAGGTGTTTGCAGGTACATAGTTACAGCTGAAGCTAATTTCCACCAAACATCTATGTGGGCTTTCTACATAGCTCTAACCTGAAGCTTTGGAAATGTCTGTTAAACTACTGAAAATGTTTGGCTCCATGTCGATTTATTCCTGTTGCACTTTCTACCCAACTTTTCCCTTCCACTCAGCTTAGCAAGGCTTTCATAACCATTTCCTCAGCAATGACCTTTTGCCTCGTGGAAGGCATCAGTGGTTTTCTACAAGCCAAGAGTCACGGCAACAATCATCCCCAAATGTAATGTTTTTTTTTTTTTAGTGGTGATGCAATATTAAAAACAGACCTTTGGTCCTTATAGCTGTAAGCCAAAACAATCAGATAAAAACTAAATATTTGAAATGCATCACTGCATAAAATGACCAGACATGGTTTTTTTTCCAAATTTGTAAAGAGACTTGGTGAATAATATCATTTAAAATTAGTTGTCAAACGCATTCTGAGGCCACATCTAAATCCAGAGTTTCTAACAAGCTACTAATCAATTTGTAAATGATTCTTTATCAGCTGCTTTCAGTTGTTAAAAGACAACATTTGAAAAAATTCAGCCATTTTCATCATAAAAGCAAGACAAACAGCCCTATTCAGGGTTACACGATCTTAGCAGTTTAGATTGCAAAGAAGTTCCTATTTCTGAGGCGTCAGTTCCATCTGAGGCTATTGGTTCACTAAAGAGCACTAAAAAATTGACATTTCTGGCAGTTAATTTACAAATCTGAAAATGTGTCCCCCCCCCCCCTACCTGACCTCTAACCCATAGGGACCAGTCCTTTCATTTCTGCATTTGCTCTCCTTGCACCGACTCACTGGAAGAAGTGTCTTATTATAGGTTTGTTGATGGAACACAGTTCAGCTTCCTGAAGATTAGCAATCAGATGCAACCAAGTTTCATTTTGACCCAACAGTTAAACAGATGCGCCAATTTTTGCCCAAATGAGAACTGGAGCAAGACGGCACAAGTTTCTTGGCAAAAAATACTCCAAAAAACTGTGTACTGGAAAGCCAGGGATTGTGTTGGAAAAACGGTGTTTGCATTTGAGGGGTTTAATCATTTCCATCTAAAAAAGAAAACCTTAGAAAAACTGATCGGGTGAACTCTTGTTACAGAACGTGCAGTGGCGGTTCTAGACCAAATCTACCAGGGGGCCATCGTGTTTCATGGGGGCAGAGAAAAGCATAAAAAATAACAATAAAATCAGGGCTAGGGATTCAAATATATTGAGAGATGCATGAAGTGAAATTTCTATTCAATTAGGTTTAATTAAAATTATGTGTCTTATTAGGTCAATATACATTCAGAATTTGGGAATTCTACATATTTTTTTACTTAATGTATGTAAAATTACCGTTTTCTATAAACTCTTAATTAAAATGGAAGAAAAAAAAAATTATGAATTCAGCTGTAAAAATTAGAGCTACTTGTTTAAAAAAAAAAACATTTAGCAGATGCAAACTGGGATCTTATCTCAATCCCACTGAAGCCATCATCTTATTATTTTTAAAATAATTAGTAAAACAGATTTTATAAGGGAAAAAAAAGTAATAGATCCAAATCAGCTATCAGTAACTATGAATGTTCCAGCGCAGATCATCATTAGAATTTCTTGGAGTATTATGTCTTCAGTACAGGGGCCAGGACATGATCTACAGGGGCACTGGCCCCCGTTGGCCCTGTCTAGAACCGGCCATGCGTGTGTGTGTGTATTTGTGATAAAAATGGGCTGGAGAGCTGATTATTAGTCTAAAGTTGTGTTCTTGGGTGTGACGCCCTTAAGGGATAACTAAGCAACGATTAAAAAAACACAACAATAAACCAAACTAAAACAAAAAGCCTTCACATTTCGAAATCGAACTATAGAAAAGTAAACCTGTAAAACTGAACCAACTCGATATGAATGGTATCAGTAAACTGTGAGTCAGTTTGGTCAGCGAGAGGATGTCTGCTGCTGAAGATAAACCCATCAAGCTGCTGTTAAAAACCACCACAGTACTGCGGCTGATTGATCGATAATGATCTAGGCTTATCCTCAAAGAGTCACTGAAAATAAAACACTGTCACAATTTAAGCCAGTTGAAAAAACCTAAGATCAGCTTCCTAAGCGCGAGAACATGATACGCTAGTAGCGGCTAACTGCTAACGCTGTCAGATACAAGAGCCGATTAAAGATAAAGAAAGGAAGCATACTTACTAAGACATTTGCGCTTTTGTTGTCGCTTTCAGCCATTGTCACTAAAGTGAGGCGTTCGCGTTTGGGAAGTGAACTTTTTTTAGGTTCTTTTCGAAGGAAACGACCAGCAAGCCCGGGGATTACAACACCCTCCACCTGCTGCAACAGCGTCTCTAACGGTCGAACTGACGCAGAAAAGCTTTATTTGACTGCGTCACACCCTCTTCCCCTTTGCATCATGGGAAATGGTGTTTTATATGTTCGAAAAGGATCAGTTCAATCTCAGCACGTTTTGATCATACAAGGTGAAATAGTACATTATTTAAAATGGGAAAACATCCAACAGGAAATTGTGTATTTTGTTTTCAAGAAGAGACAGTAAAACATGTTTTGTTAGACTGTTCTAAATATTCTGTTGAGAGGAGGGAATTAGTTAGTCGAATACAAGAAAATAGATAGATACAAGATATTTTGGATAAACTTTCTACTTCTAAATGTTTTTTTATTTTTTATTTAATGAATTACCTTAAGAAAACGAAATTGAAAGAATATAAGATTTGTTAACTTAATTATTATAATTTTATTATTTTTTGTTTTTTTTGTTTTGTGGGAGAATTTATACATAGCATCCCGATCCACATGCCATTCCAGTAGATGGCAGTAATGCACTTCAACGAGTTGTTTGCCAACCACCATGAAAAAAGAAGAAGAATTTAAAATCTGTGATCAGAAAGCATGTTTTTTTTTTACGTTACCTTTTTTCTTCGTCTACAACCATAGTCCATGTACGTATAAAACGCCTTTTTCGACATTGTTCTATATTTTTGCCTCAAAATCATGATAAATTATTTTTTATGACATGTATTATATACGGAAGAGGATCAGGGCAACTTAAAAATTAAAAAAGTGAACTGATTTTTAAATTTAATTTCAGTTTAATATGGGAAAACAAGTCAGAATTCTGAGATGAAAGTCAGAATTCTGAGAAAAAAAAGTCAGAATCCTGAATTCCCCCCCCCCCATATTAAACTGAAATTAAATTAAAAAATCAATTAACTTTTTTTTTTCCCAGTGGCCCTATTCTTTCGTAATAATAAGAATACATTCATATGAATTTTCCGTCTGTGTGAAGATATACAATGGGAATACAATTAACTAGCAAGCTCTTGAATCTAATCTATTAACTTTATGTTCCTTCTGGAAACGTGAAGCTGCAGAAAGATGTAAAAGAAATGATGAACACATCCATTCTTCTAACTGGGCTTATTTTCAGTATGTTCTATCAAGTCTGAATTTGTCAAAATTTGTTTGCTGAATCATTTTTTTTTCTTTTTAAACTACAAAATAAAAATAAAAAAATTTATTTAAAAAATTCCCTCCGCACCTGAACGCCGCAGTTTGAACGCCTAATCTTACGTCTGACGTAGGCAGTTTTCATCGTGTAGCTGCAAAGCGGAGCTGTTAGCTGAAGCTAGCAGCGGTTTCTTTAATTTTTCAACACTTTTGAAGAAACGGTTGTTGTTGAGTCTTTTTTTGGGGTTCGGTTGTACGAGAAATAATCAAATACCTGACAGTAAACCAACCCGTTTTATTCGTTCTCCTGGAGAAAGAGCGCTGGTACGTAATGATTACGTTAGCTAGCTTAGGTGGTAATAATAGTTTCTAGGGCCTGTTTCTTAATTTACCAAAATCCAGCTTAAACGTAAACATCTGTTGGCTGTTTAGATAATTGTTCGACAAGGATGATAAATATGAGTTTAAGGTCAATTTCGTTTTGAGTGAGATAACTTTTATCAACGTTATTCACTAAAACCAACTCAGACAGGCCTGATTTGTCGCACGTGTTAAAGCGCTACAAATAGCTCTGTTTTTCTGACATAAATTTGAATTAGTGGTTAGATTGTCCGTTGGGAACAATAAGATGGAGTGAAATGTCATTAGATGCTTGAAATGTTAAGGACCACACCACACAAAGGAAACCGTCAAACAAAATGTCTCCCGGAGTTATTGGCACCTGGGTTGGTGGAGATGTCGTTTCACTCTTTTATTAGTTCTGAACCTTAATCAGCAAAAGTCTTTGAACTAAAGTTTATGATGGAAGGGTGGGGAAAGTTTTCTATGGATACTGTGTACGGTGTATCGCATAGTTTTGTGTTGAGGACATTATTTGTCAAAATGCTTGATTTCTTCTTGATGTTTGCCGTTTAAAAAATAGCCTTTGTGAGAATTTATGTGACTTTTGTATTGTGTGTATTTTGAATAAGTAGAAATTTATTTGAATAAATCAAAGTATGTTGAGTCCAAATACAAACAAATGGCGTGAAGACTGGTTGTAAAGGAATAAAACTTTCTGGGTTTGGCAAAAACTTGAGCAGCAACATTTTCAAATGGGAAATAAAAGCTATTAAATCTGAAAGTTACACAATGGGTTATAAGATAATCTAAAACCATGCATTGTTAGTCCTGGAGGTATTATTACAAAGGTATATTTGTCGTATTTTTTAAAGATATTTGGATTAATCAAAAAACTAAATAATAAAACTAGCATCTCCTAATTGCAATGACCATAAGTTTTTTTAAGTCTCCATTAGTGTTAACCTTTGGCAACAAGTCTCATAATCTTTTAATTTACTAAACATTTTATTTTAAATTTAAAGATTAATTCCATGGAGAAAAAGGGAAATGGTAATTTTGGTGTTAACTGTATGCTGATGGTGAATTAATGTGACCAAAACTTTATTATAAACTTTATTTACTGAAATAAAATTTTGTAGGCGTTTCAGTTAAACATTCAACAGATGACCTTTGATTAATATTTTCATTGCCCTTTTTATTCGGTCTAAAAAAAAGATCACATGGATCACAGCTTTTAAAACTGTGACAAAGACTTTTCAACATTCAAATGAAAAACAGTTTATTTTTTAAAGTAGAGATTAGAAGGGATGCATTTCTTACTAGAAAGATTTTTTTTTTTTTTTATGGAAATCAGGCCTTGACCATGTTAAGTATTGATCTTGTGTATTAGACCAATTAATTTTCATTATACAGATACCTGAAATCATTAGCAACATGCCATCAGGTTGATTTCTTTTTTCCTTGTTTTAAAGTCGTCAAATTTTACTTCTTGTTTTAGTGGTAAGCTGTAACTTTGTTGTTAACTGTAATTTTTAAAAACAAAGAAGGAACAAATGTTGTTTTAAATTTCTTATAAGAAACTCCGCAAACTGAAACCTGCAATAGCAAAAAAGAAACGTTTGAGGGTCTTGCGCCTCAGAATTGGATGGGAAAAAAATGTCTGCTTTTTACTTAATTACAGTGACATTCCTGTTCATAGACTAAAATAGATTGGCATTGACGTTCTTACTTGACTGGAATAGAATAAATAAGAGATTGACATAGAATACATTTCTAATGGGTTGAGACCAGTTAGTTTTGATGAACTATGATAGAACTTAAATAAAACCAAATGTCTTCTTGTTGTTTATGTATGTTCTTAATTGAAATCATGGAACCACATCTGATAATAGCAGATTTGATGTAAAAACAATACATAACTGGTTAACATTTTTTCTTTTTTGTTACATTTTTCTTTCTCCATTTAAATCCAGAGCCATGTACAATGGTATTGGCCTGACAACTCCCCGGGGCAGCGGCACCAATGGCTACGTGCAGCGCAACCTGTCGAGCCTGCGGGTCAAGAGGCCACGAGATGAGCGTGGAGGCGAGCGGGATGAGAAGGACCGTGAGCGACTGGAGAGTCAGCTCAATCGGCAGCCCAACGCCGACATCCTGGAGCACCAGCGCAAGAGACAGCTGGAGGTCAAATGTGCCGAACTGCAGGACATGATGGAGGAGCAAGGGTAAAAGATAAAACAGAAAAGCTTTAACCCACAATGAACATATCCTGTTTTAACACCTTTCATTGATTTCATGTTCAATGGGGAGTAAATTCAGATTTGTGTATCTTCTGCTGTTCAGATATTCTGCTGAGGAGATTGAGGAGAAGGTGAACAGTTTCCGCATGATGCTGAAGGAGAAGGAGGAACCGCCTCCTGCCGCTGCTCAGAAACCAACGTAAGTATGACACTATTTATGTACACAACCTTTATTTATGTAGTCTCTCTGTAAAAAAGGAAAATAATAATACTAAAAATAATAATGTTGGCTTGGATTCATGTTAAAGCCATGTCGTACAAAGTACTTTTTAAACTTTTTAAACAGCATCAGCTACCAGAGGTTGCGTGCAACAGGACTGTTTTGTTCACTTGCAGTCAGTTTCTGTGAATGAACTGGGTCAGTTTCTGCAGGGATGTGTTTTCATATATAATGTTTTCATTATGTATAGAAATATGCAAGAAAGATAAACAGTTTCAGTAGGTTTTCCTCCTTTAATGTGATCCAGAATTCTGATGACTCTATTAAGAACGTATTTAAATCTCTTAGAGCAGGGGTCTACAAACCCAAACTGTTTAAAGAGCCATTTTGGACCAAAACATTTCACATACCTGCATCAGAGCGCTACCTGTTTGATCTGTGGACGGTTTTTTCATGCTTGAAACAGAAGTTCTGCAATTGTATTCTTTCTCTCTCTCACGCACAATTGTGATCAGCAGCATATTTTTAACTTCCCTGGAAATGCCTTTACACATTACAATTTTTATTATTTTTACAAAATCTTGTGCCAAAGCAAAAATGCAGACAATCCATCCGCATTGATAATGAAAGCAAATAATTTGGTCCATTCTTCTAGGAATCCTCTGTTCTCATCGGTTACCTTCCTTTTTTTTTTTCCTTTGAGATCCATGGCCAAAGACACGCCCGCCGTTTTCTTTGCCTGGTACCGTGCCATGCTGGGTCATGTTGCAGGCTTTCACCACTGATCTCTATGGCAATGACACACATTTTTGTTGAAATAAATGTTTACATATATTGTTTAAATGTATTTATAATACAAATGTTTACAGCATTGGAAAACACAACGAATGTCTGTTTGACCTCCTGCACACCATATTAAAATAAATAAACCAAAAAATAAATTTTTCATAAATTAAAAACCTCCAGGGAGCCGCAATTGGGGCGCTAAAGAGCCACAGGTTGCCAACTCCTGTCTCAGAGGGATGAAAACTGAAACAATGTCTCCGCTTAAGTGTTCACACAGACCTATAAATATGGCTATACTCACAGTTGAAGTATTGATTTGTCTCAAATTTACTCCCAAGTTGTTCAAATTACAGGATTGTCAATAAACCTAAAGTGACATTAAAGGAATAAACAAAGAAAACTTCCAAATTCAGAAACCATTTTGCTCATTTGAAGTTTTCCTAACACATGCAAGGGAAGTGTTTATTCATGTTCGATAAAATAAATGCCCCATTTCCACTACCCCTCTGAAACCGATAACATTCAGGAACTGGATAGCGTCCTCCGCCCAAATTTCAATGAGAGCCTCGGTCTCTACATCGTCCCAGGTTGCACCACACTCCTTTGATTCCATTTCTTGTTAATAGGCCCAGAAGAAGTTGGTGTTTTGAACAAAAAAGGTGGGAGTAAGATTGTAAAGAGAATTGTAAGAGAATTAACCAACTTCAGGTGTGAACTTCTGGTTTTGTAAACATTGTGGCGCCCTGCAGTAAGGTAGCTCTTTAACTTAGGGCGTAAGTCATGGTTGAGGGATTTCTTTCATTATTCCCCCTAAATGCCAGTCAGAAACTTACTGTTTTATTTTTCTTAAAGATAAAAGATGAACACAGGCTTCATCTTATGGCACAACCACGGATCTTGCCAAGTCAAGATTGATTGATTGACTTTAAGATGTGCTTTACTGATTGCAGCCTACCAAAAAGGACTGAATGGTTTACTAACATATAAGATTAAAGTGTGTACATTGATAAATCCAGATTATTTTAGAGTTTAATTTATTGTTTACTCCCTAACAGACTTTTTATTATGTTGGAAGTATTAATTTAGAAAATTCAAAATATTTTGTCTTGGTCTCGTTTGTTTTTAATAAAAGTTCCAGTGTTTAAACAGTGATGTGTAGATATATTATACAGCAGGAGGGAAACAAGATTAAATTATATTGCAATTTTTTTTTTTTCTCCGGCAGAGGGATGCCAAACCTTATTTGCTCATCAATCTGTTTTGTCCCATTTCAGTGTGACAGAGACGCACGCCCTAGCTGCAGCCAACCAGCAGAAGAACGACCGTCTTCGTGCTGCCTTTGGTATTTCCAGCGATTACGTGGATGGCTCGTCTTTCCACGCCGACCGCAAGGAGAAGGAGAAGGAAAAGAGAGAGCAGGAACGTCTGGAGAGGGAACGGCAGCAGCAGCAGAAATATACGTGAGCAAGACCTATGGATCTTAACTGCTAAACGGGTCCCCCATTTTTACCACTGGGTTATAATGTCTCTGTGTTCGGCAGCTTGGTGGAAGTTTCTGATGACTCCGATTCTCCTCCAAAGAAGCGCAGTCGGAAGAAGAAAAAGAAAAACAAGAACAGAGACAGGTGAGTTAATAACACTGATTTAATAAAAGGGAATGGATACTTATGAAGGGGCCATCTGACATCTTTTGGATTGATTTTAAAGCAGTTCAGACAGTTCGTCCCCATCTCCTCGCAAAGAGAAGAAGAAATCCAAAAAGAAGAAAAAGAAACGGTAACCCTTTAACACATTTCCTGTATAGATTTTATATTTCTCCTGCTGTACGTAATTATCTGGCGATACTTAATCTGACTCTCTTTGTTCCAGGGAGGTATCTGAAGACGAAGATGACAGGTTTGTGTTTTTGAGCTAATAAACATCTATTATATCAATTATGTTCATCGGGTTTATCTTTGAATTCGTGTTTAATGTTCCATCCTTTGAATTTTAGTTCCTCGGATGAGAAGCAGAAAGTCTCAAAGAAGAAAAGAAAAAACAGTGGAAGTTCTAGTTCTGCGAAAGCCAAAACTGGGCGAGGCAGAAGCGTCTCCTCTAGCTCAGATCGGAGGTAATCTCAAATATCTTCAGGACCACATCTTGGCGCCAGACACTTTAAAACAATATCACTTTTCTTATTACATCGAAGGCTCTTGATAATGAAAAGTTTGTTTTAGTTGACAAACATTTAGCATAATTTTTTTCTCCATCTAAAAGTTTTCATTAAAAAGCATTTCATTTACTCAGGAAGTTTGAAAAGGGAAAGTCTTATAGATTAATTACATATTACATTATTCCTTTTTATAGTCAAAAAAAGAAAATTTACATTAAATAAGAGCAGTAAAAAATTCTGAGAATAATCATTACAGTTAGCAAAAAAAGGCTTAAATCGATTGATGTTTTCTAATTATTGTAATTAATCAAGAGGCACCTCTGTTGATAAAGAGCATCCTGAAATATAAGAATGTCTGACTTTTCTACAGACCAGACGATAAACTACCCAAATAGTAGATAAATATTGTTGAATATGTTTATATAAAATATATTTATATTTTTTTTAACTCTTAGCAGCAGCCAGTCTCCACCATCAAGAGGTCATCTAAAAGACCAAGCTGCAAAAAATGCTGAACGTAGGAAGGAGAGGTCACCAGTCAGGAGGCGACAAGAGTCTGAGGACCGCAGCCCCCAGAGGAGGCAGCAGGTTTCCGAGGAGCGCAGCCCCCAGAGGAGGCGGCGGGGGTCTGAGGAGCGCAGCCCCCCACGTCGAGTAGAAGAAGGGGTGAGCCTGCATTCACTGGTACAATAGTAATCATTCACTTTCAGATAGCCTGTTTCTATTGTACTGCCTTGAATCCTTCAACTGAATCACTTTGTCTCCACCATCTCCACTGAGCTGTCGTCTGCTTCAGTAAACCAAAATTTTAGATTGTGGAGGATTTGAGGCATGCTGCCACACGCTGTGTCTCATATGGGGTGTTAAAATGTCTGAACACACGAGGCAGAAGATCAGCGCAGTGTTTGAGGGTGGATGGGGAAATATGGAAAGGTCCATCTGCTCTGCAAGGTTTCTGCCTCTTTAAAAGCTTAACTTCTCTTTTAAATGGCGAAGGGAGGGGGTAGAGTGGGCTAACTCCGAGGACTAGATGGTCCTCACAGAAGATGGTGAATAGATGACTCAAACCAGTGGTAGAACTGGTTTAACTCATGTGCGGGTGATTGCATGAAGTGGCTTGTACCTTGTATTCTGTATGAACCCCAGCCAGACAGATGTGGTGTGCAGCCTGTTGTAACATCCTTGCTAAACCTCTATTTTAATTACCTGGACAAGCCTCTGAAAATAAGGAGGCTGCAGCCGATCACAAAAATCAGCATCTACCAATCGCAGCATCAAATGCATAAATTCTTCATTATTAGGTATCCACATTATATATAAAAGTTTTATGTATTGACCACTATTCTATGATGGAGGCAGGAGAGATGTAACCTGGCACAAATCAGATTGATGCATGTAGTTCATTTTGAATTCTACTAAAGGGAGGGGCGACGAATTGTACTGAAATATTTGTGGTACGTCTCGCATGTCGAACTTTTAGCCAATCACAACAGCAGTAGCACCTGTGACTTTTCACATTCTTGATTTGGTTCACAACTAGCTGAGTTAACTGATAAATCAAATTCTTACCAAATCCAGTCAAGAGGGAAGTGCAAAAATCATTCCCATCCACAAAGGCAAAAATGGCATCTTTTTGCTAATTTTTCAAAAAGAAATCGTAGGTATTTTATGAAGCAATATAAGTGCCTTGTGCCCTGTTTGAGCACGCAGGAACCAATCCGCTCAACTCACTGTCCTCGCCCTCCGTTCCATCTCTGCGTGCGCTCGACCTGCTCTTTCCGCTTCATAGCTGCACGCTCAGCTGTTTTTCCGCTTGTTCGACTCCGTCTCTGTGCTTGCGACTACATAAATGTATGTAAGTGAACCACACCATCAGCCAGTCACGCTCAGCTTCTTTTCATCCAATTAAAGTATTCCTTCCAAATACTACATCTGGTTTAATGAAAATTTGCCCGATAGGAGGATGGGTGGTGTCCGCTGCCTGAACAGTTGCGTTTGAACGAATATAACGCTAAACTAGAATCAGAGCAAAGTAAACTTCTCAATTGAAGGCTATCGGTCACACAACAGAACATAGGAATAGAGCTGCTGAGAGAGAATTCAACAGTATTAAATCTATGGTACGGAAATGGAGGAAGCAAGAAAATGACCTGCACCGATCATTGGCAGTATGCCTTATAATCCAGTGCGTCCAATAGTGCAGATGATGTGGTACCAAGAACTGATCAAAACAGAAGTCTTTGATTAAAAATCTATAACAGTAAAATGAAAAGGTGGATACTTTAGTGAAGTTTAAACTGGAATAATTAAAATATGATGTTTGGAATATTCGTCCAAATAGAAATCCTATGCAGGGCTCAATGTTAACCATCGCCCGGAGCAAGTAGTTTTACTTTTCAGGAGAGTACAAATTTCATTGCATTTGCCCGCAAGTGCAATGATCACAAAAAAAAATAAAAAATGATCACTCAAAATTACTTTAAAATCATCGACATTCACTGAAAACAACCCACAAGCGTTGCCGGCGCCATCTTTGTTGTTTTGTACACATTCTCACGTGATTTGAAAAAGCCGCGTGATTTTCCTCTAGATCAGGGGTGCTCAAGTCCATTCCTCAAGAGCTACTATCCTGCAACTTTTTGATGCAACCATTTTTAACACACCTGAATCAAATGAGTGGCTCGTTACCATGCCTCTGTTGGGCTAAATCAGGTTAGATTCAGGTGTGCTAGAGAAGAGATGCATCTAAAAGTCACAGGATGGTAGCTCTTGAGGACTGGACTTGGGCACCCCTGCTCTAGATGGCATGATTCAGCTCTTGGGGAGAGAATTCTGCAGAGCAGCAGCTGGATGATTAAGTTAATCTATACTATAATACACGCCAGATTAAAAATGATCAGTCAGGGATTAGGATAATAATATAATAATAATAATAATAGAAATATTTACATGGTGTGCATACAATTATTATTATCATATGGCAGTCTTCTGTACAGTGGTCATACATTAAACATTGTCATTACATTTTTTTCTCTTAGACATTTGAGTGGTGCATTTAAATGTTATAGAGCTAAACATGTTAAATTGGTGAGTAGTAGTAGTGTAAGTTTTTAACCTGCTTTTTTTTAGATTTTTAACATTACAATTAATATTTTTCCAAGCACAGAACAGTTTAAAGTTTAGTTTGAAAAGAATGTGCAGGAAGGATTGAAAAGCATGTTAACACGGTAATGTAGGCTGGAGTTCATTATCTGACGCATGCAGATACACACCAGGAACCTGGAAACTTACTGAATTATAAAAAACATTTAAAAAACAAACATGTTTCATTTATATATATACAAAAATGAATATTAGGAACTATATTTATCAAACATTATACTGGGCAAGGAAAAATTGTTTCTGGGCAAATGAAATGTGAAAGTAGGGCAAGTGGTAAAAATCCTTAACGTCCTTCCCTGCTATGTACTTTACCCCCAAAAACTATCACTCGGGTACAAGGAAAATCTAAGCTCTTACCTCTTCATTAGGGTCTTGTTCTACCCAGAGGATCTGCTTTTCTCGTGTAACATTTAGTGAGGATTTATTTGGCTGCTTATGACTCAAACTCTCCTGGGAATTACCAAAGTGAAAACATACCTGATTTCCTAGTTTTGCAACATGTAGGGTAAAAATGTTTGGAAGGATGATTTCAAACCATTTGAAAGTTCTTTTTTTTTTCTTCTTCTTTTTTTACACAGAGGAGGCCTAATTCTGAAAGGGAAAAGGAGCAACGTAGGGAGACGGAAAAGACCAAACGGAGACATGACTCCTCATCCCCCTCTCCTTCTCCAGAAAAAGAGAAAAACATTGATGGAGGGAGAGAAAGAAGATCTAGAAGCAAACAAAGGGAACGGGACAAGGGCCAGACTAGGAACATGGAGATGGATACAAGAAAGCAGTCCAGAAATGCAGAGTTGGACAAGAGGAGGCGATCCAGGAGTGTAGAGATGGATAAACGTGAACCAAATAGAAGCAGTGACTCTGAGAAAGGGAGGCGGTCAAGGAGTATAGAGATTAGGAACAAAGGAAAGGAGAGCCCCTTTCAGAGGATTAGGCGGGACCCCTCTTCATCATCTTCTTCTCCTCCACCTCAAAAAGACACAAGGGGGGAAAGAAGCAGAATCCCTGAGCGCGAAAAAGACAGAAACAAACTGCAAAGAACAGCAAGACACGATTCTTCATCTCCTTCCCCTTCTCCTGAAAAGGAGAGGACAAGGAAAGGAAGGAGTAGAGATAAAGAACGTGCAACTGAAAAAGACATTCAGTCAACGTTGCGCACACGAAGTGAAAGAGACATTAAAGAGGCTGAAAATCTGGATAGACGACCCTCTCCTCCCCAGGAGCGAGGGGACATAAGGGGCGGCCGTCTGGCTCGTGACTCCCCTTCGCCCAAGCGCTGTCAGTCCTTTACCAATGGAAGCCAGCTTGAGAGGGAGCATGAGCGAAGACAAGAAACAAACAAGGAAAGATCAACAGACAGGTACTTAAATAAACAGAGGGAAGAAAGTGGAGAAAAAAGGAGAAAGGAAGCTCAGGTCCAGTCATCGGTAGAGGATAGGAGAGACGGGTCAAAGCCTTCGGAAAGATCACGGAGCGATCCACAGGAGAAGTTGAAAAGCCCAGTGAAAGAGAAAAGGCGAGAGGACAAAATAAAACAACCCGAGAAACGACGCGAAAGCAGCAGCAGTGGCAGCGGCAGCAGTAGCAGTGACAGTGACAGCTCATCATCATCTTCCTCTTCGTCTTCATCATCCTCTTCTTCATCATCTTCTTCTGAAGATGAAGGCAACTCCAATAAAGTTGCGTCACCGGAGCGGGAAAGAAATGTTCCCAGGAAAAGCACTGCATCCGCCATTGGAGCTGCTGTTGAACGGTTTCTGGCCAACGGGAAGAAGGAAGGCTCTCTCTCAGCTTCGGAAGTTGATGGAGCCAGACGTCCCCTCAGAGACCGGGAACCAGAATGGGACAAACCTGAACGTGAAAGACCTCCTCTCAAAGAACCCACAGAAGATGGTTCTCCACAGGGAAAGGGAAAAGAGCGTTACAGTCCCACTCAGGTAGAGAGCCGCAGCCCATCCCCCTCCCCACCCAGCAGACCAGAAAACAGCAGAGGCAGAAGGTACTCTCCTGAGACCAAAACCAGTGACAGGGAAAGGGCAAAAGACGAGGACGCCACCAAGAAGACCACAAGATCTAGCCCCACTGAAAGTTCACCGTTTCCTCCACAGAGGACCTCCACCGTCCCACCAGCCACCCGAACACCACCAAGGCAGTATCAAGAACCCCCACCACGGTCCAGAAGACCGTCCCCTCCTTTAGCCCCGAGAGAATGGGAGAGGGGAGGGAGAAGGAGCAGGTCCAGAAGTGCCAGGAGGCGCAGCAGGAGCCCGAGGAGACGCAGTGGATCTAGGCCTACAAGTCTAAGGAGGCGTAGCGGGTCTAGACCCAGAAGTCCCAGGAGGCGTAGCCGGTCTAGACCCAGAAGTCCTAGAAGGCGTAGTGGGTCTAGACCCAGAAGTCCGAGAAGACGCAGCCGGTCTAGGCCCAGAAGTCCCAGGAGGCGAAGTGGTTCTCGCCCCAGAAATCTGAGGAGACGCAGCGGTTCTCGTCCCAGGAGGCGCAGCGGTTCTCGTCCTAGAAGTCCAAGAAGGCGCAGCGGTTCTCGTCCCAGGAGGCGCAGCGGTTCTCGTCCCAGAAGTCCCAGGAGGCGCAGCGGATCTAGGTCGAGAAATCTGAGAAGGCGCAGTGGGTCCAGGCCCATATCCAGACCTAAAAGTCCAAGAAGGCGCACAAGATCAAGGTCCAGGAGTCCAAGGAAGCGCAGCAGATCCACTTCAAGAATCCTCAGAAGGCCAAGTCCCCCCAGCAGGTAATAGAGGAATGTCATCAACATGTTGTCTATACTTTATATGTTGTTATGAATGAAAATCAACTCTCATATTATTAAACTTGGATTTTATATTAATATCTATATTGTAGCAACAAAACTAAACAATATAAGTTTTGGTGATGGCCGTACAAAGGCTCTGTCATTGTGAGCAAATTGTAAAACCATTCTGTAACCGTTTTTATGCTCTTACCATATAGACCTTCTATGTTCCAACTGAACAGCCAGGCCACATACTCCACAGTCTGCAATCAGATGTCCTTAATGCATTTTTCTGAATGTAGCACCAAGCTAACCATAAGCAAAAGCTGGCAGCAGCCACTTTTAAGCACCCACAGTGGCTCGGCTGCTCCTTCCACTTCACTTACTGCTGTGTGAAGAATCAACTTAAAGGCTGACTCATTTTCTTATATTTTTGTAAAGCTAGGAGGCAAACTCATCTGATGTTGTCAGAGCAGTTTGGGAAATGAAGGCATTTGTCACAGGAAATGCCCAGAAACGTGCAATACATGCATTATGCACACAGTCCGCTCAAGTCAGCTAGCATAGGCTGTTCAGCACAACTAAGGCCATTTCCCCGATAGGAACTGAAGGAAACCAGAACTGACCAAATAAAACAAATATGACATTTTAAGGAAGGATAATGCAATTTTAGGGTCTGGAGGAAAAATGTAATGCTAGTCCTGGAATTGGGACTTTCTCTTAGAATTGCATTTATGTCAAATTCTTGTCATTCGGATTCATTGAGACGGCACTTAAGTAAGATAGTGTTCTCTGCATACTTATGGCAATGAAATAGCTTTTGTAACAAAGTATCTTTTCATTTGTATAATAGTACTTGATTTGAATCATAAATATGACTCCACTTGCCCATTTCAAAAGCTAAACCACAAATGGGAAGTTAATCATTCCTGCGTATAATCTGTGGTAATTAATACATTGAAAGGATGAAGCTGAAATTGTTAACTTCCTTTTCGTCTCCAGGCCGCGTCAATCTCCGTCTCCACTGAGGCGAAGGAGGAGCAGTCGCTCCCTCTCTACAGAGAGGCAAAGGGAGCGTGACAGAGGCCGGCAGAGGGACGAGCAACAGCCTGCAAAGGCAGTCTCCCCACCCCAAAGATCCTCCTCATCTTCATCTTCCTCTAGCTCCTCCTCCTCCTCATCGTCCGCCTCTCCCTCACCACCTAGAGCGGTGAAAGATGCAAAAGCTGCTGCAGAGAGGGACCAGAGTCCGGTTCAGGACGAAGGAAAGCCAAAGAGCCGTCCTTCCTCATCACAGGCCCCATCCAGGGACTCCTCCCATGCTGCAGCGTCAGGCAGGAGAAGCTCGCCATCAGATTCACAACGATCTGATGAAATCCCCCCAAGGTCCTCAGCTGTCAGCCAATCAGATGGCAGGCGGGCGCCTCAGGGTCCGACCAGAACCTCGTCGTCACCAACTGCCCACCAGGAGGCGGAGAAAGCTGTCAGGAAAGAAACCACTGTAAACGGGAAGGAGAAGGCCAGCAGGAGCAGCAGCTCTAGCTCCTCTTCGTCATCCTCCTCTTCATCATCATCATCCTCCTCGTCTTCATCATCGTCATCCTCATCTTCAGATAGCTCTGACTCTGAAGGGGAGGGAGGAAAAGGGTGAGCAGCATGGCTGAATGGGTCGTGTGTTTCAGAGAAAGCTGCTGGGCTTCCTAATGAAACGGTTTCCTTCTTTCCAACAGGAAGGCGGTGAAAGCCCAAAGCTCCAATTCCTCCTCTTCCTCATCCAGTGATGAAAAGGAAACAAAGAAAAAGAGGTAATATTAGAATTAAAATCAGTTTCATATATACTGTCTGTTCAGCGTCTGTCATCTGTCCCATTTCAATCCAGCCATTTTATAACTACCTATAAACCATTTCCTTCCTTTGCTTCCTGTCTTGCAAAATGTCATTTTATTGTACTGACCTGGGTTAAAATATTTAGATCATTTTCTGTAGGATGATTTAGCATTTAAAAATAAGTCTCTCTTCATGTTTGTTTCTTTATTTAGGGGTGCAGTTGGAGATCTTTTCTGATGCTTTTTTTTTTTTAGCATGTGGCTTAAAGATCTTTCCCCACAGCTGCTTAGCGAGCAGTGATATAGAAAGTCAGGAAGTGAAAATAAAATGAATGGTCCCCGCTACAGCGAGAAATCAACGAATAACCCCAACCAATGACAAAAGACGGTCTGTTGTATACGATTGGTTCCTGAGACGCCTATCATGGTCGTCTGCTTGTCCCTTTCCTCTGGGTGCGTACCCTGACACATGAACGAATCGACCCCCCCAATGCTCATGCAGGATGCCATGGCTGGAAGCTAGCCACTGTTATGCTACGTTCACACCTAAAGCAGCAAGAGCAGCAAAAACGTTTCATTTTTTTATGCTTGTGCAAGTTTAGTTCTGATGCACGGCTGAAACATCTTTGCTAAATGTGTTCTGAAAAGGAGGAGACTTTTTTTGGGAGGGTGGTCGACTGCTGGGCCGCTGAATGTACCGGACCTCAGCAGAGAGCCATGAGCCGGAGGAGGGGGGGCTGGGGACCAGAAAGGCAGGCAGGGGGAAGCACGGGGCCGCCGTTGTCCAGGGTACCGTTACCGGGTCCGGTTTGGTCGCTCCGTCCCCCGCTGGCTCCTGGTCTGGACTACGTGCTGCGCTGTAGTCGAACAAAATCCCGGACGATTTTAAAATTCCCCGCGGACATTTTTTTAGGTCTGAAAAGTGGGACATTTGCTGCTCCAGTTGCGCGGTGGAAAACGTTGGACTGATGCGCGTTGAGTGGAGCTACCCTATCCTTTCTTTGCCTGTAACAATGGCAGCTATAGTTGCTGTAATCAGTAGTTTGAATCTATTTTGAAGTGAGAAAGTCCACCTGAAAACATCGTCAGTGCATTTGATCCAGATTACCATCCTGCCCTTAAATACTATTTCTGGCGGAGCCGCTCAGACCCCCGTACATCCGCGATGCGTTGTCACTATGAATCCCATTCAACAGCAGCCTCTGGCCCGGTCGCTTCTTTGCGGTTTGCCGCTGTGGCTGGAAGGCGTTTTTCATGTCCGTAGTTCAAACTTCAGGCACCAGGATAATAACAGTGAACATGTTTTGCTGGCAGATTGCTGCATTTTAAGTTAATTTAGGCGTTAAAATGCAGCAATCTGCCAGCAAAACATGTTCACTGTTATTATCCTGGTGCCTGAAGTTTGAACTAAGGACATGAAAAACGCCTTCCAGCCACAGCGGCAAACCGCAAAGAGGCGAGTTAATTTAGGCGTTAATAAACTGTTTCAGAGGAGTGATCATAGCTCTCTGCATCATCAGCACTGCCTGTCTCCCTGCCAGCAGCTGCTCAGACGCTGCAGACAGTATGTGAGTTTGTGTTTTGAAGGCGTGGTTTCGAGGGGTGGTCTGAAGGAAGTGGAATGGTTGTGCATGTTCAAAAATATAGCCTGACTGAGCCGTTTTTCCAAGATCTCCTACTTCACCTTTAAGTCAATTATTTGAGTTGGAATCCAGCAGTAACTTAAAGTGTTGTGTTTTTACTCGCAGCCCTGCGCGGCCTCACCGCGTTCCGGCCGATTCTCTGCGGGATTCACGTTCTCTCAGCTATTCTCCTCCCAGACACATCCGACCTGCTCGCTCCTCACCTACTAGAAGGTGTGTATCCGCTCCTCATTTTTCTTTCAAGCATCCATAAATGCAGCTCTTTCCTTTTCAGGCTGCAATGAGTGATGTATTTTTCAGCCGTTCAGCTCTGACTCAAGAATCACTTAAACATAAAATGTTTCCTACACTACAGAAGAACCTATATGTTGTTGAAGTTTATTTTCATTTAATCTTTAAACTCTTTTTTTTTAAATAGCTATCCCCCCATTTTTGTAGTTTAGCCTCTTAGAAATCCCAAATAACAGTTTGACAGGAAAATTGGACTTCAGCTCCAACAGGGTGATTTAGACGATACATAAAAAAAAAAAAACATAGCAGTAACTAGCTTAAATCTAAATAAAATGCCTCTTTGCTCAGACTCAATAAGGCCTCAGATCTTGTAGGTTTTTAGTCCCTTCTTCAAATTAAAATGCAAAGCATTACGTCCTGCATAGATCTATGCATCCATAAAAACAAATGCTGCAAACTTTGCAAAACCAGCTTTTTATTATAATTTTTTTATCCTAGGGATAATCTTAATGTGAAATGTTGATGCTATAAACGAATAAAGTTAACAACTTGTAGCCCACTAGTAACAGGTCTTTCTATTGGAGAGCAGCTGTAAATTGAGTGCTTTATTATTTTAAGACAAAATTATAAAGTTAACATTTAAAATGGTTTAAGCATCTCATATTAGCAATAAGCATTGCTAACATTGCTAAAATATGCAAATCCATCATGGTCAATGTTGAAATTAAAAGATTACATGAATAACATGGAATATTTCTTGTTTGTTTAGCCTTACTTTTATTTTGAACATTAATTTAGTTTCTGTACAGCACTTTATTGCAGCTGCTATTGTTTTATAAGTTCTTTATAAATAAAGGAGTAGTTCCTGTTATTTACTGAAGGTTTAGTTCTGTCTGTTTGCATGCAGCCTGAATGAATCACAATAACATGTCCTGGTTTATCCCAGAAAATACTTTTATTTCCTACATTTCTGACTTAATTTAAATCACACTAGTGATGCTAAGAAACAGCTTAAATATCCATCTAAATGGAGGAAGTTTCAATATTAAATGTGTTATCTTAATCTGATAGTCTTTATTATGATGTATTCACTCGCTGATAAACATTTGATTTTTGTGGGTTTTTTTCCATTTTGGTTATTAAAATCACCGGCTAAGTTCTCTGCTTCTTTTTCAAAAATAACCAAAGCATTTTTGTAAAAAAGTATTGCCACTGGCTCAATTTTCTTATGAAATTAATATGTGATGAACGTCAGAGCAGTGAGTTGTAAAGGAGAGTGTAAACCAGGCTTAAAATAATGTTAGGAGTAGCTGAGTAGTTATTCAATCTGATGTTCCTCTTCAAGTCTAAATAGAAAACAACTTTAAGGTGCTGTTGATACTTAAACCCTGAGATAACTTATCATCTCTAAAGTAACTCCTAATGATTTTAATCTGTTTATCCTGGTTTTGATTTAGTTTCACCCGTTGTTTTTATTCTGTATAAAGACATCTTTATTCTACCGTGTCAGGGTGTTCGGTCTCTGCGTTAGCTGGATGCTCGTCTGTAAGTTGGATTGTAGATTTCATTGGTGTGTTTGTTCATCAGGAGCAGAGTGTCGCCAAGATCCTCGTCAAGCAGCAGGCGAAGAAAATGATCTGAATATCAGGAACACGTCCCTCCTTCTTCTGCTTTCTTGGAGCCAGCAGGCAGTAGATGTGAGATTTTTGGAGAACTCCAGACGCAGTAACATTTTTCTTTTTTTTGTTTTTGTTTTAAGCCGAGACGTTGCAGGCTGCTCTTTGTATTGATGAGCTGATATAACACTCTGTTCCTGTGCTGAATGTCCTGTCCTTCCTGTAGATATGAGCTGTCCGTATTTCGGTTGTTATTGTGTAACAGGTAAATGATTCCATGCAATGTGAGCAGAAACTGAAACTGGGCTAATTTCTTTGGTGAAAATGATTGATCGTAATAATAAAAGTAATTGTACATTTTATTTGAGTGGTTGTTTGATTTTTCTTTTTTTTCTTTTTCTATATACTGAGGAGCATTAAAATTGAATCAGTTATGTTAGGATTCTAAAAAACTCATCTGTCCATGTTGGTTTGAAACTAAAAGCTAAGTCTTTATCTTTAGGTGTCTTTCTTTTTAAGAAGAATAAATCACATCA